ATTTAAGAAAAAAAACTTTTTAAAAACAAGCTTTTATGTAAATACATTAAAAAGAAAAAAATAAACTTTTTCTTTAAAACTTTTATTATGAACTTATAACGTCATTACACAATTTTATATTATATAAAAGCTTGTCGCGAGATTTGAGTGTACAGTTTCACTGTACACTCAAACTGATAAAAATCTAGTACGACAACTTTATCTTGTAATTCCTGTAATTCTTGTAATTACAATATCTTGTAAACCTATCATTATTCCCATCCAGGATAAATTCATCCAGTTTAGAAGAACATTTAAAAAACTTCGTGTCCGAATATTACACACTGGTACTGAAAATCGCCAAAATGATCTGGCAAACATCTTATTAAAAACGGCAGATCTTATTATAAAAAACAACGAGACCTCTGTTCTTTTCTCTCAGAATTGTCATGGGCTATCAATAAAAATTAAAAATAGATACGGATAATCAGAAAAACAGTAATTTAAAAATGAATCTTGTTTGTCATTTTGTAGGATACCTAATAATAAAAATTACTTTGAATGCCGTAGGCAATGATTGAGTATTAAAACTAAAAGAATTTCAGACTTCCATTGTACTACTAAACTACAAAAACCAAATATATCTCACAATAAACAAAAATAAAGAAACAAAATATATCACTCAAGAAAAGAATGAAATAAATTAAGCCGCACGCTACTGACTCAAAGCTGCCGTAACTGTATGTTGTGGATGACAAAGACTACGACACTGGTTAATTTCTGTTGCTGGCACCCATAATGGCGGCGTGCGCAAGGATATGCGCGTAGCGTTCCCGCCAAAGCGAGTTAGCCTTCCGTGTGATTTATATGCCGTGGTATGTACGAGGATGTATTTCAGAAAAATATTTGAACTTCCATAGGGTGGCTCAAAAAAGTGTGAGTGGATTGGGATGATTTTTTTTAAATGGAACCTCTTGTATATTATTGCATTTTTAGCTTCCTTTCAGGTCACTATACATAATCGTAAATATGTTTCGAAAGTTTAAGGGATATTAATAAATAAATAAATATATACAGGGTCCGGCAATAGTGCATCTGGCATCTGTAGCTCCTAGAATAAAAAATTTGAGAATTTTGTTTAAATGCAAACCTAAAGTATGTACCAGCATGTATTTCAGGAAAATATGTTAACTTCTATAGGGAGGCTCACAAAAGTGTGAGTGGACCTGGATTATTTTTTTAAAATGTAACACCCTGTATATTATTGCATTTTTGGCTTCCTTTCCGATCACTTTACATAACCCTAAGATATGAATAAATATATTTCGATAGTTTCAGGGATATTAAAAAAATAAATCAAAAATACCTATATATTTTTCAGCCCTTCTTAAAAAAAATATTAAAAATACAGGAACTGTTCTGAAATCAAAAGTATATTAGGTATTTACTTTAGATGGTCTGTCTCTACTTTGCTATAAATATGGTAATCGTAAATAATACAGGATGTTCAATATTCTACGCCAAACTTTCTAAAATATAAAATATTTTTTCTTTGTTTTTTTTTAATGGGACACCCTGTATATTATTTTTTTATTAGATCGAGAGTTAAAAAATGAACATTTTTTGTATTTAGAGTATTTCAAAATTTTTAACGGTTTCGCAGATACACGCAGTATTATTTCATATGCGGTTTCAATGGTAAAATACGAGAGAAAAATCATTGGGTGGCTTTGATAAAAATTTACTGTGGAAAATGCCATATGAAATATAAAACCGCAAATATCTGCGAAACCGTTAAAAATTTTGAAATACTCTAAATACAAAAAATGTTCATTTTTTAATTCTCCGTCTATTGAAAAAATAATATACAAGGTGTTCCATTTAAAAAAACGAAGAAACATTATTTTATATTTTAGAAAGTTTGGCGTAGAATTTTGAACATCCTGTATGATTTCCGATTTTCATATTTATAGCAAAGTAAGTACAGACCATCTAAAGTTAATTTGTATTTTTAATAATTTTTTTAAGAAGGGCTGAAAAATATATATTTTTGATTTATTTTTTAATATCTCTGAAACTATCGAAATTTATTTATTCATATCTTAGGGTTATGTAAAGTAATCTGAAAGAAAGCCAAAAATGCAATAATATACAGGGTGTTCCATTCAAAAAAAATCATCCAGGTCGACTCACACTTTTTTGAGCCACCCTATAGAAGTTAAAAGATTTTCCTGAAATACATTCTCGTACATACTTTAGGTCTGCACTAAAACAAAATTCTCAAGTTTTTTATTCTAGGAGCTACAGATGCCCGGCGCACTATTGCCGGACCCTGTATATATTTTTCAACCTTTCTTAAAAAATACTAAAAATACAAGAACTGTCCTGAAATCAAAACTATATTAGGTTATTTACTTTAGATGGTCTAAATTTACTTTGCTATAAATATCGCAATCTTAAATCATACAGGATGTTGTGCAAAATTCTCCGCCAAACTTAGGCGGAATAGGTTTCATTTTTATTTCGCTTTTTTCCAAATACATAATTTATAAAGTAACGTCAATATTTGGATGAAAATTGGTGTCTGGGAGTTTTTCGACATGAGAAATTTGATTTCAAGTCACGCTATTTGCAGAGGGCGCCACATACATATTTTTTAACTGATATGAAGAGTAATAACTTTTTGTCCGTACCTGTATAAAACTACTGAGTAAAAAAATAAACATTTACGACGTTTTTTACGTAAAAAGGTTTCTTCGTAAAAATTTCTACCAGTAATTAAATATTTGGAATCGAAATTATCAATACCTATCATCATTGACATAAATTAAACATGATAACTAAATAGTTATTAGACTGAAATCATAAATTTGAAATGTTTTTGTGCCAAAAGTTCAACAAAAACTGTTTTATCATCATTTTTTAGCAGAACAATTTATGTTTAATTTAAAAAAAAAATAAAAATTTCCCAAATTTATTATTTCAGTCAAATAACATCTACTACTCAACGTGCTTATTTTTTGTCAATAATGACATGTGTATTGACTATTTACTACTAGATTTACTATTTCCTTTCTAAATATTTTGAGTCAAGATATTTAGAAAGGAAATAGTCACTTGAGAACAGTTGCTCGTAGTGATTTTTACCAAAAAACATTTTTTATGTAAAAAATCACGCTAATGTATATTTTTTCACTTAGTAGTTTTATACAGGTACGGAAGAAAAGTTATTATTCTTCAAAATAGATGTAACAATGTAGGTGGCGCCCTCTACAAATAGGAGTCATACTGACATTAAAATCAAATTTCTCATGTCAAAAAACTCCCAGACGCCAATTTTCATCCAAATATCGCAGTTACTTCAGAAATTATTTGGAATATACACCTCAAATCTCATTCAAATCGGAATATCGGTCATTAAAATATCTTAAAAAAATATGTATATTTTTTTTAAAGTTTGATGCCTTCTAACGGACAAACGATGAACTTTTGTATAGACGTAAATTGTGTCTGTGAATTGTGTTCAATCCAGAGGTTCAATCGTTCAATGTAGTTGTTTTGATTACGAAAATACGTAGTAGTTCTATGTCTACGGAATATTGGGACACCCTGTGTTTTAGATAACTATTTCCTTATTATTGATATTGATAGAGAAGAAATTAATTTAATTTATTAAAAATTATTCAACATTTTCAAGAAATAGATAGAACACTCAAGCATTGTCACTTTACTTTAACTAATCTCGTAGATATTTTTCAATGGGAATCGAATGTCGTCCTTATGCAACCAGCAATATCAGTGATGAAGTAAAAATTGTTCGTTGGAAAATTGGTTGGAAAGAAATGTGGAACTTACATCGTATTTATTTTCACTTTGCATCGATTTATTGTTACATATATTGTCATATATCACTCTCCTTTATCAAGTAGATTTAAAAACTGAAACCATTATCTATGACTAACTAAAACATTCGGAGAACTGAAAGGGAATATTAACATTATTTCTGATTATAAGAAAAATATTTAATGCAGAACTTGTAGAGGCGCTACTAGTAGAAACAATAACATTATTACCAAATTATGAATACCGGTTACCTCAATACCAATACAGGGTGATTCAAACAGAGTTTTAAACTAGAGTTGCTTATTTCTTATTTCTAAATGAAATTATTACAGTTGAGGGTTGGAACCTTTGGTGTTACACAGTAAAATAAAAACACTAAATCACCACAATACACAAAAACACTTTTACTTTTACACTGGACGCGCGTAAACTTTGAGTTTATAATCATCTGCTGATGATGCTAACATGGAAAGCGAAACGCGCGTCCAGTGTAAAAGTAAAAGTGTTTTGGTGTATTGTGGTGATTTAATGTTTTTATCTAAATGAAATGCTAATTATTATAATCATATTTACTTGTGCTAAGTATGTAGCTCAGTGGATTTGTTATTAAATTTCCATTCTAAAAATAGCATAACGTCTCATATTTTAAAGATATTTTTTACTGAGAGGTTTTTAAAATATGGCCATTTTAGGGTGCTAAATTTTCATAGCTTTTACAGACTTAATTATAAAATATCGAATTACATATATTTTTAAATTTGAAATAATATTTCATGATGCTACTTTTGCACTAAAATAAACTACCTATATTAATTGATATACAACATCTGGCTTTGCTATGGCCAGAGCTCTGGCTTAATCACGTGACTAAAAGTATTAAGAGTTATTACAAAACACAAATTGTCCCACCATTTTTAAAAAACATTGTCTAAAACAGAATACTGGCAAAAAATCTGAAGGAATTTAATTTTACAATAATTCGACAAATCAAAACGAAATCAAACCGTAAAATCACAACAAAAGCGTCTCTGAGTGACAGTTAAAAATCAAATTTTTATTATTGTCAGATATTGACATTTGCATTGTTAATATTGACAGTTTTAATATTTTGCGCCTCTGCATCTTGGAGGAAAAACTATTTTTAATGAACTGTCATTTCCATTTAAGTTTCCCAGCCATGCTATTTAACCTAAGATTTTTATTTTTCGCCAGGTGGTGGCCTTTATCTGCCTTTATTAATATTATATAAATTGTTTTACAAAGCCATAAAAATTACAGTGGAGTATTCTTTTAAAACATGAGTAAATATAAGCAGATATCTCATGTTATTTTTGATATGGATGGAGTTTTATTAGGTATGTGTATTATTTGTAAATGTGTACTTTTATTTTCTAATTTGATTGTTAGAAAAAATGCTATTATTCATTTTGTACACAAAACAATTGTTAAATAGTTATACAATATAAAGTTCTTGACGAAGGTTAAATGTATCATATTTGCACTCAATATTACAAGTTGTCATGCAAAAAGCTTTTGGTATTCCTATTTTTTTGCATAATTAGTTACACAAATACAGTAGAGTAGAATGGATGGTATAATCAAATATTAGTATCATATTAGTGAATTAACAAAATATGGAATTTACGTATATCGTATGATCGAAAAAAAACGGCGTCCAGTTGGCTTGGAAATGACAGCGATCTTCATTTCATAGCCATCACTGACGCCGGTTTTATTCGATCACGGTATTATACTTAGTTTAAAAGTAAAATACTTGCAAAGTGATCAAAAAGTTTTACGATCAAGTGTGATACATGGTGAAGTTGGCCTTGGTCCAATCTATCGACATATCAAATATCATTTAAATCGGACGATTTCTTTATTTGATTCATTGATGATGGGGTTTCGTAGTGGAACTTCTTCGAGCCCCATCTACATTCCGAGTTTCAGCCTCCAAGCTCACATAGGTTATTTAGAATAAAGGTCCGATTAAATTTATATCTCCGAAACTAAAGTTCCAAAAAAAGTCATACTATATCTACAAATTCATTTACCCACTAGTAGATACATATAAAAAACATTTTTGGTAAACTCTGTCTCAAATAGTTTCTGAAAAATAAAATTAATTTTTTTTAAAAGGCCCGATTAAATTTAAATCTCCGAAACTAAAGTTCCAAAAAAAGTCGTACTATATTTACAAATTCATTTACCCACTAGTAGATATAAAAAATATTTTGGTCAACTCTGTCTCAAATAGTTTCTGAAAAATAAAATTAATTTTTTTAAAAGGTTCGATTAAATTTATATCGCCGAAACTAAAGTTCGAAAAAAAGTCGTACTATATCCACAAATTCATTTATCCACTAGTAGATATAAAAAACATTTTTGGTCAACTCTGTCTCAAATAGTTTCTGAAAAATAAAATTAATTTTTTTAAAAGGTCCGATTAAATTTATATCTCCGAAACTAAAGTTCCAAAAAAGTCATACTATATCTACAAATTCATTTACCCACTAGTAGATATAAAAAAACATTTTTGGTCAACTCTGTCTCAAATAGTTTCTGAAAAATAAAATTAATTTTTTTAAAAAGTCCGATTAAATTTATATCGCCGAAACTAAAGTTCGAAAAAAAGTCGTACTATATCCACAAATTCATTTACCCACTAGTAGATATAAAAAATATTTTGGTCAACTCTGTCTCAAATAGTTTCTGAAAAATAAAATTAATTTTTTTAAAAGGTTCGATTAAATTTATATCGCCGAAACTAAAGTTCGAAAAAAAGTCGTACTATATCCACAAATTCATTTACCCACTAGTAGATATAAAAAAACATTTTTGGTCAACTCTGTCTCAAATAGTTTCTGAAAAATAAAATTAATTTTTTTAAAAGGTCCGATTAAATTTATATCTCCGAAACTAAAGTTTCAAAAAAAGTCGTACTATATCTACAAATTTATTTACCCACTAGTAGATATAAAAAATATATTGGTCAACTCTGTCTCAAATAGTTTCTGAAAAATAAAATTAATTTTTTTAAAAGGTCCGATTAGATTTATATCTCCGAAACTAAAGTTTCAAAAAAAGTCATACTATATCTACAAATTCATTTACCCACTAGTAGATATAAAAACATTTTTGGTAAACTCTGTCTCAAATAGTTTCTGAAAAACAAAATTAATGTTTTTAAAAGGTCCGATTAAATTTATATCTCCGAAACTAAAGTTCGACAAAAAGTCGTACTATATCTATAAATTCATTTACCCACTAGTAGATATAAAAAACATTTTTGGTAAACTCTGTCTCAAGTAGTTTCCTAAAAATAAAATTAATTTTTTTAAAAGGTCCGATTAAATTTATATCTCCGAAACTAAAGTTTCAAAAAACCTATAGAATAGAGTTACAATGCTCCAAAGACCAATTAAATTGGACGATTTTTTCGCCTTTGATGATGGGGTTTCATAGTGCACGAAACGTCGTCAAAATATCATGAAAAGATGGGTTCATTCCTAGTTTCCGCCCTATAGCTCACATAGGGCACGAGTTACAACGCTTACCACTTCGATAGCACAAGATCGTTACCACTTTTCCTCTCGCGTCTCGTCACGATCGTGTCACGGCCTGCAATTTTTACTCCTACAGCGCGTCAAGAAGTTTCACTTCAACAACTAAAGTTTCTAGATTGTCATTGTATATTCCTACAAATTCATTTAGCACCAATTAGTACGAATAAAAGTTATGTATAATTAAAAAACTCTGTCTCAAATAGTTTCTGAAAAACAAAATTAATGTTTTTAAAAGGTCCGATTAAATTTATATCTCGTACTATATCTATAAATTCATTTACCCACTAGTAGATATAAAAAACATTTTTGGTAAACTCTGTCTCAGGAACCCTGTCTGGGAAGTTGTTTAACCGCGACCTTACATATCTATTATGTCCCCCTTTCTTGAGTTATCCTCCTCCTAGGTGCCTTCTCCTTTGAGGTTGGCGATTAATATGGCGTATGACTCTCTGTCCAGAGCTTGGTGAATAAGAGTGTTTCCGTCGGTGTGGGTCCAATCTCTTATGTTACGTAGCCATGATTTCTTTTTCCTCCCTATGCTACGTTTTCCATCGATTTTTCCTTCTATTATGAGCTGTATTTCTTCATATTCTGAGTGCCGCATTATATGTCCAAGGTAGGAAGTCTTTTTGATTTTAATTGTGCCTGTTAGGTGTGGACGAGTTTTCATTCTCTCTAAAACTTTACAATTTGTTGTTCTGGAGGTCCAACTTATCCTCAGCATCCGACGATACATCCACATTTCAAAAGCATTAAGGCGTTTGATGTCTTCTTGTTTTAGCGTCCATGTTTCGCATCCATATTGAAGTAGGGGCCATATATAACATTTTAATATTCTTAGCCTCGTTGGTATATCTATTCTGGGATGGCACAAAAACTTCCGCATGTTGAGGAAACCAGCCCTAGCTTTTTCTATTCTTCTGATTTCTTTAGAGTGGTCTAGCTGGCTGTTTAATTCGCTGCCCAAGTAAATATAACTCCGCGTGGTTTCTAGATGGATGCCGTTTACCATTATGTCGGTATTTTCATTGTCTTGCGGATGTCTGTCGAAAATCATAGTTTTTGTCTAGGCGGTGTTAATCTCTAGACTCATCCCCTGATACTTTCTTCTGTCAGTTTGTCCATTAGGGTTTGCAGCTGGTCTTCGGATTCTGCTAATACCATGGTGTCGTCTGCATATCTTATATTGTTTATAATTTTTCCATTTATTTTAGCCCCTTCTGGACAATTTTGAAGAGATTTTCGGATTATATATTCGGCATTTCTTGAGTTATAACTCGTCATAAAGTCTAAGGGCTTATGGCAGGGATGGTTGTCGTCTCGGCGCACTCACTGATGAGGCGTTCTTGTGTTTCCCAGTTTTCCCCACAGAACACACAATCTACATTCGCTGTTGTTTCTTAGTTTCAATCTACTAAGGTATTCATTGAGGATGAAGAGACAGTGTCTTGTAAAAAAAACCGTAACAATCTGACAATTGTTTTTACTTAAATCAAGGAAAATCTTCGATTTTTCTCGGTCGTAAGTTCTGAGATATCCGTTTTTCGGGATAGTATAGTGATGTTTCGGGATCCGGGACAACCTACCTAAATCCGGCATTTTCCCGGAAATCCTGGACGTCTGGCAACCCTACCCGGGAATCGTTTTAGGTAGACATATTGATCATTAATCATTTGCAGTTGCTCGCTACCCCTTGTCGCGAAACATTGCACTTTGCTCTAAGTTGTCGAGAGGATTTGTAACTATTTAATTTTACATTTTTACAATTTTCCGTAGTTACTTATGAGTTAATATATTAAAATTATTTATTTTCTTTAGTGGTCTATCTTCTCGCCGGAGAGCTGGCGACATATTTAGAGAACATATTTTAGGCAAGTTAAAATAACAAAAAAATTAAAATTTATTAACTGGCACAATCTTAAGTCGGGCAGTTTTTGCGGGTATTTTGCTACTGCGCAACCCCTTATATTTGCAAAAAATAAATCCAAAAAATATGCTTTAGGCAACTGGAAATTTGTTTATTCTTAAATTTTAGCATCTATTTAATCCAGAAATAAGAAATAAGTATGCCACACTTTTTTTCGGCTTTAAAGTGTAACCCGACCATCCCAAATATGTTTAATTATTATACCTCGAAAATATACTTTAGGCATTCTAAAATGTTTACAGCGTGTTTATTAGATAATATTAAAAAATATGTGTTAATTGCCAGGCGAATTCAACGGTTTTTAATAACTTGCTTGACGCGAATAAAGATTTTAAATGAGCGCCACAAAAAAGTCTTATGAGTATAAGCAGGCGCGGCTGACGTAACAGTATTTTACACAGTTTATTTTTTACTTTTATACTGTTTATATGCTATCATCTGTTTCATCAAAGTCGAGTTTAAAAAAACAATATTTTCGTCATAATTGCAATATTAATATTCATAATCAATTATCTGATAATTTTAATTGTTACTTTAGAAATTTTAGTCAAATTATTGATTCACAAAAAAATCAAATTTAAATCAATAGAAAACTAAAATTTAAACAACTTTGATTTTTTTTGTTAACTTTTTTAATATGTTAAAAAAAAGTATTACAGAAAATGTGTCAATTGTGGCAATAATGTATAATAAAAGTCTTATTACCTATATTATCAATTTATTGTAATTTATAGATGACATTTAAATCACTTAAAATAAAACGGTTTATTTTCAAAATAGCTACTAACAAAAGAACTAAAAAATATGAGCATTAAGAACATAACATATTTTGTGAGATTTAACCGATTTTGTAGTATTTTTTACTTATCCATTACGGTTTAGTCATCGAATATAGGGCTGAGATCATAATAAATATAATAATTATTCTATTTTGATGTCTATTAAGACGTTATACAGGGTGTTTCAAAAAACATGTGCCATCTCTCGTGGGCAGATTCCTCACGTAAAAATAAGATTTATTTTTCATATAAACATAAGTCCGATTCTGGTTTGTTCCGTAGCTAGATTTATTATAATTTTCCTCCAAGTACTTTTAGCGATTCGAATAAAATTTTGAGGGTAAAAAATACTATAAGTGCTGCATATTTTAATTCTAAAAAAGTGTCGAAAAATTTGTCAGGGGTGCATAATATAGGTTAATCACTGGAATATTTTTCAAGAAAAAAACATATGCGCCACTGACTTTTTTCTTTTGATATCAAAATTGTGTAGGCCGTTTAATGCCAATTAAAAGTTATCTCTTGATGTTTTGTCGAATTCGGCCTCCTTGATGAGATAAACGCAATTTTATTAATCATAAATTAATAAAATTATTAAAATAAAAATAAAATTAATAAATTATGTATTTTTCCTCTAATTTATTATTAAATTTTATTACTATTAGTTATTTTAGCTTTTAGTCCATCGTACAGCAATTTGAAATAAAAAAATAATGGTATTTAAGATAATTACAAAAAGACTAATTTAAAACGTTTTAACATCCGGGAATTCTAAAATTATGCATTTCCATACCCATGTTTATAGGAACTTTTTTTCATATTTTTTGATGAGAAATCAATGAGTACTTATTTAAAATTTTTGCAAGTTAATGATATTAAAATTTCTTATAGGTTGCTATTATTAGTCTTGGATCAGGGCAAATTAATAAAATTGCGTTTATCTCATCAAGGAGGCCGAAATCGACAAAATATCAAGAGACAATTTTTAATCAGCATTAAACTGCTTACACTATTTCACTAACAAAGTCAGTGGCGTACATACTTCTTTTAGAAAAATATTCCAGTGATAACCCATATGCACGTCACTGGTGAATATATCGACACTTTTTAGCTCTAAAATATGTCGCATTTATAATAATTTTTACCCTCAAAATTTCATTCGAAACACTAAAAGAACTTGGAAGAAAATTATAATAAAGCGAAAAAATAATAAGGCTTTTTACGTGAAAAAATCTCCCCACGAGAGATGGCACATGTTTTGAAAGACCCTGTATACTTGCTTTGTAGAACCAGCCCTTAAAGTCTTAAGTCAGCTTTTGATTTGGTTTGGTTTGGTTTGGTTGGACTTAAACCATTAACATTATTTAAATAAAAAAAAACAAGTTTTCTGTCAGTTTGCAGATTGGGTTGTTATGTATCACGAATAAATTTATTTTTAAATACTAATGTAGCTAATAGCTTTCTAATTGTATAAATACGGTTACAAATTTTATGAAAATTTAACATTTTTTATTGAATAAAAAAGCTTAATAAAGAAGAATAATAAACCGGGTGCATCTCAAAAGTGGCTCACCGCTATAACTTTTTTTATTTTTTTAGATAAAACGAGATTTGGTATGTTAGTATATGACATAAATTAGGATTGATTAACATATTCAATTTTTTTCGGTCACTTCCGGTTTCACCGGAAACGACTACAACTTTTTATTTTTAAATGACACCCTCAGTATTCTTTTACTTTATACAATAGAAAATCACACTCTGAATCAAATGACATATCATATATGTCAACTTTTGACATTTTTGCATATTGTTTATTTGAAATTGGAACGTGCGATTCATAACGACAATTTGACTCGAAATACCAAGTGTGTGGTATCAAATTATTCGTATAAAAATGCTTTTTCCAAATATGCTAATGAGACACCCTCGTTTCATTTGAAAAAATTGAGATATGATTAAAAATACGATTTGGTCATCTTTTAACCGACCAGGACACTAAAAACATTAGACGATCAAATCTATTTTTCCAAGACTCCTTGCTTAAAAATTAGTGTTTTTTAGCCATGGCACTCTAGATTAAAATTTAAAATACAATTTGTTTTTGAGCGAATATGTCAAAAGTTGACATATGATATGCCATTTGATTCAGAGTGTTATTTTCTATCGTATAAAAGTAAAAAAATACCGAGGGTGTCATTTAAAAATCAAAAGTTGTAGTCGTTTCCGGTGAAACAGGAAGTGACCGAAAACAATTGAATGCGTCAATCAATGCTAGTTTATGTCATATACTAACATACCAAATTTCGTTTTTTTTATCTGAAAAAATATAAAAGTTACAGGGGGTGAGCCACTTTTGAGACGCACCCAGTATAATGTAAATTATAACATTTTATAAATTATAGACACAGAGCCGTTATATACAAAGGCTTTCCAGAATTTAGTAGGCAGACATGGTAAAACGTTCACGTTTGATTTGAAGTTAAAATCGATGGGATCTCATCGACTGGAAGCGGCCAAAATGATAATAGAAGAACTCGACTTGCCAATGACACCCGTAGAGTTCGATACTTTAATCGAAGAACAGTACCAACTTCTTATGAATGACACAGAGATATTTCCTGGTGAGTAATGATCTCGTTTTCTTTTTCTAGATACGGAGAACGTTTACAAAAATGCCATTTCTTGCATTGCCAAGCGATTCGGCAAGGTTTATACAGCTGATATCGTGGCAAAAGTAATAGGGACATTGGAAAAAGAATCCGCTAGAATTGCCGTCACTGAAATGAAACTTCCTATACCAGTTGAGGAGTTTCGACATGAATTTCGTACTCTTTCGCATGGCTTCTTTGCAAAACATCACGTTCCACTTATGCCAGGTATATTTGAGCTTCACGCAGATGTGTTTTTGTTGTAGAGCCTAAAGCATTTGTAGTGTTATTTTTGTAATTCTACTTTAGTTTTGATGTTGTAGCACAGAGAATGTTATGAACAGAAGGGTAATTTGTATCTATAGAAGGAATGTATGAATAGACGATAATAAAATTTGATTTAGTAGCAATCTCCATAAAATACCCACAATTTTTAAATTATAATTTTTGGAGGATTGCTTCACAATAATTGGATTCCTGTTATAGGTAATTTATTAGAATTTGTATATGATACCCAGGAGCATATAAGTATTTATTTAAACTTGTTTTTTATGTATTAATGATATTATATTGATTGAAAGAATTGGGAAGATACACAGCATAATGGGCGAATTCGTGACAAGGCTGATTTGATTTCCCCTTACCTCTCAAGTGCTATATGGTGGAGACACCAATCGTTCTGCGGCCAACCCACTTATTTTCTCTCATTTAACCAGCGACGAAGCCATATGGAAAACAGTGTGGAACTGAAAGCGACAGTGTTGCCATATTAAAATTTGTATTATCTGTAATACGTTTGGATGAAAAATCCGCGTTTATGTATTGAACATTTATTCGTGTCAAACATAGAATAAACAACAAAAATGAAATTAAAAATTCTTTTATAGGTACTAAATATGTCGTATGATGGAAAAATAGTCATTTAGTTGGCTTGGAAATAACCATTATTGACATTAATTTACCATAATATTTTACATATTATGAAGTAACAGCGATATTTATTTCCAAGCCAACTCTGATGCCCTTCTTTGTTTAATCATATAATATTATATTAAATTGTTTAATGATAGAAAATCCGTATTATCAACGTTTACCAAAATCCGTAAATCTACGGATTAATCCGTAGTCCTGGCAACACTGTCTCCGGCAACCACCCACTCTTTCTACTGAAAGCAGAACTACGGTACAGTATTCTTTATCCGCTGCGCTGTAAACGACTATCAGCGCGCAGCAGCGCAGAACTAAAGTAAATCTCGGACAGGCTGACGGTAACGTCAACTACATCTCGGACAGGTTTTGTACCACGAAATCGCCCATAAGGTTGCGCATCTTATTTCTTCAATCAACGATATTGTTTATACTAAGGACGAACAATGTACAGGGTGGTCGAAATTGGTCTGTTTTAACAGAGAAAACCTATTTCCTGTCTAGATAGAGCAAAACCGACATATATGTCATTGGCTCGATTTCTGAGAAACGTTTAATGTGATACAACTGAGATACGGGGTCTTTTTGATTTTTTTACCATTTGGAAAATTGCCCGTAACTTTTTTATTTCGCGGAATAATAAAATTCTGTAAAAACGTTCTTAAGGCACTTTTTTAAGCACAATCCAGTGGCGTAGTAAATTTTTTTCTATGCTTGCTCTTTTTATCAGAAATAATGAAAAATATGATTTTTTAAATGGAAATCGTAGGCTATGAATTTAAAAAAATACTGGCGTTTAACCCTTTCCAACGATATAAAGTTATGGATATCTATTTCTACGAATGAGAGAAATATTAGGTTTTTTATCTTTATATCGAAGCGGGCCTTGATTTTGTGTTGACCTATTTTCCTAATTATTTTTTATCACAATTTAATATTCTATATTATTATTTATTTGCATAATTAAAGACTTTAGAAAAGGTAAATTAACATTCTATATTAGTATTAGTAATTACAATTGAAATCGATACAATAAACAAAGAACACAACTATAAAAAACTATTTTTTAAGTGACGTTTTTTGAGTGAATATAGTTTTCTAAAAAAATCATCAGATGTTCAAACTGTGCACCTCCTTGTTGAATACACAATAAACATCTTTTGCGCGAGTTACAACGATTTATTAGGCGAACTGGTGTAAGTCCAAAAGCTTCCCTAGTAGCCTTCTGTAATAATTATCCTCTCGTCCCAATGGTTCTTCCCTTATATAAGGTGTTTTAATTTCCCCCATAAAAAAGTCGAAAGGAGTTAAATCACAGGACCTCGTAGTCCAAGACATGGGACACTTTGTTTCAATCCAATACTCTCTAAATTCTCCATTTAATGGTGCATGCAGTTGTAATCCTGGCGTTTTAATTGTAAATGGTAATACTAATATAGAATATTCATTTACCTTTTCAAAAGTCTTTAATTATGCAGATAAATAATAATAAAGAATATTAAATTGTGATAAAAAATAATTAGGCAACTAGTTCAACACAAAATTAAGGCCCGCTTCGATACAAAGAAAATAAAACCTAATATTTCCCTCATTCTTAGAAATAAATACACATAACTTTATATCGTTGGAAAGGGTTAAGCGCCATCATTTTTTTAAGTTCATAGCCAACTATGATTTCCATTTAAAAAATCATATTTTTATTATTTCTGACAAAAAAAGCAAGTATAGAAAAAAACTGACTACGCCACTGGATTTTGCTTAAAAAAGTGCCTCAAGAACGTTTTAACAGAATTTTATTATTCCGCGAAATACAAAAGTTATGGGCAATTTTCCAAATGGTAACAAATTCAAAAAGACCCCGTATCTCAGTTGGTAATGAAAATATCAACAGGCGCAGGCGGTTTACGCCATTAAACGTGTCTCAGAAATCGAGCCCATAACATCTATGTCGGTGTCAGGAAATAGGTTTTCTCTGTTAAAACAGACCAATTTCGACCACCCTGTACAAGGTGATTAAAATAAAGCGCCATGGGCGAATATCATGAAAATGAAAGGTAAAATATGCAAAATTTGTTGATGATATATAAAAGGAACCGCCTAAGGTATATTTTTTATACATTAATAACATATTTTTTGTAAATTATTGCTTCTTTAGTATAAAATAAACTCATCGGCAAAAGTCTTGCACCCCCTTACTATTTTAATAAAAATTACATTGCAAACTAATTTATCATGCAAATCAATAGATGCTAAAGTTATGTTAAACGAAAAGAAATAAAGGAAAACTTTCACAAGTTTAATAATATATATGCAATATTTTTGTATAAAAAATGCATAATTCCATGAAAGAAAAAATAATGCTTGACGGGTGCGAAAATGAAATAATAAATTCTGATTGCTTTAGTTACTAACCTTTTTATTGCCTCCTCGATTTGTTTTTACTGCATCAAGTCGTCGGGGGCATCCTACTGACAACTAGATTATTTATGACCATCTGAGTAAGAACTGCCATTCCTCTTATCGGCAATGATCAACTCCTGGCACACGTGTTGGTGAGGTTATTTCTGCGAAATGTTGACATTCAAGTAAATGTCATCCCAGACATGTTCTCAGTAGAAATAAACAGGGAGATTGGTTTCCAGCGATGGGAACTATCGAATTATTTCACCCTTCATTTAATGCTTCCTGGACTATCCTAGCTCTGTGAGGACGAGCGTTATCATTCATGAGAATAAAATTATTGCCGATTTCTTCTCGCAGTGGATAAATTATTGGTCTGATTACAGTTTCCACATACAAATGGGCGTTCATCACCTCAGGAATATGAATGAGCTCTGTTCGCCTACTGTACATGATGCCACCCCAGAACATCTCAGAGTTCCGTTAATGAATGAATGATTGTCTATCGAATGGTTTTATTCGAATAAAATCATTCATTCGTCTGTATACTAAAGCATTAAGTCGCCTGGAAATGGTTCGTGCGATATCACTCGGTTAGTTCGTTGAAACACGAGATCGTATGCTTTGATAAATGAACTTTAGATTTCTTTGGCAAATTGAGCCAAGTAGTCAGTGCATTATTAGTTCTTCCAAATTTTTATACCTTCGCCGTATAAATTCCTGTGTCCATTATACCGTTGTATAATTCGGTTAAAATACTAAAATAGTAAACGATCAGCAATTTGATGCCTGCTGAGACCTTCTTTGTGCATGTGATAAGGTGGTCCCTATCGAGGCAGAAATTTGTGTGGTTTTGGCATTTTGTCGCCTTTCACAACACTTATTTTACATGATATGAACTCTATTTTTAATGGAGAATTTTGACCGTAAATAGCAATTTTTACACATTCCATGAGATAAGGTTTTCTTTCATTTTTAAAATACATTTTTGTAGACACATATTAAGGTATTTGTACACTTAAGTTAAATTAAGCGTAAAACCTTCAACTGCAAGGGATCTATCATTAAAAAACTCAAGAAGTGTTAAACGAAAAGAAATAAAATAAAACAGTTGAACTTCAAATAAAATATTTAAGTATTTTTGTCTTTAAGTAAATGGTTATCGAACTAAAAACTTAATGGGGTGAGCAAATTAAAACGAATGAGTTTTAATTGTGCCAATTTCAAACCTTTTTTTTTATAACGATGTTTGTATTTTACTTTATACTAACATCTACTGACATGTAGATTTTTTGCGAAGAAATATTTCATTTAGAACGAAAGTAAATGCCAGGCTAACATAATTTGGCACACAGTAATGTGAAGCGACTAATATAAATGTTTTGATTTCTAAGTAAATTTCATTCAAATTTTCCTTCCATTAAACAGCATGCTTAGGTTTCATATACGTTTTATTTCATGATCTTGTGCGATATGTTGTTACAGGGACGTATTAGTTGTTAAGTTAAAAGTTTCTGGGATTCAACGGTAAATTTTAATTTGTTAGGTACCTAATATTTTAAATAGGATCTAATGATAAATAATTCTGACATCTAATTTGTTGTTTATATTTTGCTACACAAGTTATAGGGTTTTAAATATCTATTAGCGGGTAATGAATTTAAGTCGGTCGGAAATTTCTACATTTTGTTGAATTTAGGTATAAAAAAATATCAACATATTAAATGATTTTGAAGTTTTGTTGTTAATAGGTATAACAAATTATTACTGTAATTATTATTTATTAAATATAATCTTGCTTAAAACTTACTATAACTTTTCCTACATCCAAAATAACAATATTATTGCAGTGTAACAACAGAATGGCATAATTAAAAAAATGCAGAACATATCGAAATACT